AAAAAGGGATAAAGTATATTTAAGGCGAAGAGCGCAAAGAATTCAAAAGACTCAGTAATGAGAAGCGAACTCTTAAAAATTTGACGAAAATGAACGCTTTGATATTGAAAGATAGGTGATGCATTGTAAGGTAGAGAGCATAAGGGAGCTTCTTATGAAAGAATACCATGCCAAAGAACATTCTAATTAAAAATCACTTCTGTAAACGAATCAAAGTTACCACTGAACACACATCTATCACCATATTAATTTACATGTTTCCCTGCATTATTTACATAACAAAAAATCCATCTCATCTCAATATCTGTCGACCACTGACGGAGAATAATTTTGCCTAGAAAGTCAGAGCCAAATACCATGAATTTCATGGTGAATCATGAAAAGGTAAAATATTACTTGCGAACATTGGATACTGAGTAGCTAGCTGCCTAGCACCTTACAGTGAACACTACAAACACCCATAAATTCGAGTATGCAGCATTAAACACATTTTCCTTAAAACAGTAGTGAAAAATTAGCAGTTATCATTTACAGTTGATTCTAAAGTACTTACTGGGAAGTGCCCAATTGAAGTTGTACATTCCAATGTCCAGCGAAATATGCTGGCTGAAAACATTGTTCTTTGAGTTCCTATCAGACCAAGTAAAATCTTTTAGGTAGTGGTAAGACTAAAGCAGTCACCATCATAGTATAAACAGCTTACGTTATGGTGAGGATCTAATGGCAAAGTCGTACTGTTAGCTGACCGCTGTGTGGTCGCAGTAAGGTATTTCCTGTGGATGACCAAACGTTCATGCTGGGACTGTCTTCTCTGTTAGAAGGAACGATTAGGAAAGACTGGCCTTAAAGATACTACACCTCTCCCAGACCTACAAACTTTCGATGTCCGTGATACGGATTGTCATTCTCCGGTGACAGAAGAACGAAAACTTAATCCAAAACTTTCCAAATCCTGTGTATAATTGACCTCAAAGGAAATATCTCTCTAACCTTGTGGCAACGCAAGTCAGACCTATTTTATCTTCCAGTCACTTTACAAAAAAAGGTTTAATGGAGTGGGGAACCAAGACGAACCAACTGCTTGAACGCTTCCGTTCGAGTATGGAAACTGAGGAGCTAATCTGACTATTCAGTACTCTTCCACAGGTTGAAAAGATCTGATTTTACATCGAAATCATAATAGAAACATGTCTTTTCTGATAGTGACTTTTAAAGACTAAATGAGAAGTGAATTTCGTTTGAAGGAACCACTCATTTGAAGAAGAGTTTTATTGACAGAGTAGTGCCATGAAACTGAATCGAGGTGTGAAGTGTAATGTTTCAAGAAAAAGATCTACCAGAGATATGTAAAAGTAAGTTAGAAAACTTTCAATAAAATTAAGGGTAAATATTATTGAAGAAAACTACCCTAGCATTTTGCATATTTTAAACTGATTACAGTTCTCATGATAACAAGCAATTTTAAGTTTATTGAATTACCAAGATAAATACAGAAACACTACACCAAATTAAAAAATTAACCTAGATGCGTTAATTAGATGGAAAATATTTTGCTTTGTTGTAAATCATTACTGAGACAAATGAAGGCAAAGCGTGTGAACAAAAAAGTGCTGAAACTGGTCACTACAGCATCTGTATAAACAAATTAGTATAGAAGCCGGCATATGACTACACTGGCTAACATTGTCAAACTTAGTCAAAAGAATGAGATATTTAAGTAAAGTAAAAGATCTACAAGAATGCAAATGAACATGGTGTGATAACATAATGTGTTCGAAACTTAGAAGAGAGTAAATTTTGAAAAATGCAGGTTTTTAAATTACTGATTTTGACCTATTAAAACAATCAACAAGAAGTTTGATAACTCTATAACACGAATCATACCAACAATCACTGATTGTACTGACTGAACATTTTCAATTTTAATCTTACTCCAGACACTACAGCAATTCAGAGCAGACAGAGTGTTAGAATACATAATGTATGTTTTAGCCACTTCAGGTTTATAGCTATATATTTCTCATATGTAGTTTACCAAATTAAGCGGTTGACCTAGCGAGACATAGATTCACATTTTGTCTAACCCATGACTATATGAGTACTGAAATGACATCACTACACTTACACATATGTGTATATACAGTTCATCACCTATTTCATGAGCTCTTGAGTAGGTGTTCAGCTGCATTTACCAGCTGCTAAGCACCGATCACAAAGAAAACAACATCTTGGAAACAAAGAATAATAAAAATGATACAAAACTTCAAATACAAAGAAGAATAGAAGATTTCGATTTCGCTTGCTCATCTTACTTAATGGATAGTGTATATTCCTTACCTACTAGCTTTTATACCTTAGCACATGCATAAATTACTTAAATGTATTCATTATAGGTGGATTAAATCATCATAAGCAAGTAAACTATAGATGAACTGGTGTAGATGTAAAGTAATGCATAAACTAAATACAACTAAACAATGCCTCATGTTGATATTGTTTTAAAAAAAAAGTACTATTTAGCTGAGAAATAGCGAGAATCAGGACGCCCATTGGCTTTCTACTTTGAAAAAAGACAAGAAACAAATGAAGAACTGTCGTCATATTATTCTACGCTGGTAATGTTGAAAAACAAAACAGACATCATATCAGAAAATACAAGCTTCACACCAGGGGGAACCTTTAACAAAACAATAAACTAGTGTAAAGAAAATTTCTGTTTTTTTTTCCTTTTAACTAAGAAGACGGTTTTTCAACAAATTCAGTACTCTGGTTACTATAATAAATTGAGATGAAGAATGGTGTTTTTAGCCGACTAATCTGAAATTATATTTCACAAGCAAAAATTATGTTTGTGGTGATAGCTGAACTTGAACGCAAAAACAGTAGAATGTCAAGCCTATTTATTCATTTATCCGGAATACAGTCGAATGTAAGTGGAGACATATTCCTAAATATTTTTTTGGACAGGAGAATTTATTTCAAAAGACTTCATTTTTAACAACTATAACCGCAAAATGAATGGGTACTACCTGAGTATGAGTGCATCTGCGCTGATCTCTTCCCAGATAGTAACCTCGTTATTTGACACTACACGCCAGGTGATTCACAATGGAAAGCTCAGTGACGCCTTTGAAGTGAACACAGCAGTAAGACAAGGCTGCCTACCATCGTCGACGATCTTCCTGATTGTGGTCGACTGGATCATGTATCAAACCTTCAGGAGCTGTGAGATGGGCATACACTGGCTGGACCGATGAACAGACCCCAGAAGATTTGGATTTCACCGACGATGATGATTTATGTCTAATGTCTTGTTGCATATACTCGAAGATATACAAGCAAAAACCAACAACTTGACAGAAGAGGCAGGGCAGCGAAGACGGGACTTCAAGTGAACGTAGAGAAGATAGAGGTGATGATGATGCCCAACCAACAACAACAAACACCAATCACCATCAATGGGAGAAACTTAAAGGAAGTAGTCTCTTTCACCAATCTAGGCAGCACTGTTTTAACTACAGACGCTGGCGGCACGAATGAGGACGTCAAAATCAGGATTGGAAAAGCAAAACAGGCCTTCATTAATCTGAAACCAGATTGGACATCTACTGCACTGCACTCAGCATAAAGCGTGAACAACATACGGATTTTCAACACTAAGTCGGTCGAGTCAGTGCTTCTATATGGTTCAGAAACTTGGCGCGTCATGTAAAGCACTTTCAACAAACTACAGACATTCATCAGCAACTGCCTACGCTCTCTCGATAGTGAAGATCAGATGGCCAGGAAGAATATGCAACAAGGAACTCTGGCTGGGTGGCTGGCTGGCAACGAACCAACCAACAAACTATAGCCCAACAAATATGCAGGAGAGAGTGGAGATGGACTGGACTGGACATACACTGAGAAGACGGTTTGGAGACATCACGCGTGAGGCCAGGCCCTCGAGTGGAATCCAAATGGGGAACGACGAGTTAGGCGTCCGAGCCGTGGGTGACATGGAGAGGATGGTGTGAGGAAGAAATGATAGCTTCTGAGCTGTCGTGGAGCGAGGTTCAAAAGACTGCAGAGAAGACAGTGAAATGGAGACGTGATACTGAGGCCCTATGTTCCACTAGGAACCCAAGTGAATGCATATGTTTCTCTGAGGAGTCTCAACACATTTTCTATAAGATTTGCTGTTAGTACGATCTAGTGGTGGAATAAAGGATGGAGAGTTTTTCTGATTTGAAACTCGTAGGGAGGATGTATCCAGTTTAGTGTCCGCATAACGACTCAAAACTAGCGTTCATCGCTTTACACGCCTGCAGATCTATTGAACTGCATTACATAACCTTCTCGAGTGGGTGTTAATTTTTACGAGGACTTAAAACCTTTCATGGCAAATATCATAATACAGTCCTTGTCATGTATTGAAAATTTGAAAATTACTGAAAACGTAAGCGAAAATGGGAAAAGATAATAGGTTGGCCTGAAAAATTGTCCATGAAGCAAAGTGGACCGAGAAGTTAGAACCGACAGAGAAATACTGCAGGACCCTTTCTTCTGGGTTCAGGGATTCACAGCGAAATGTATCCGTCACCGGTACGTCAGGTTGATGAGTCCCAAATAGGAAGAAACATGCCTCCTAAATTCCACTTAATTCCTTTCTTACACCTTAGATTCCAAAACCTGTAGTCATCATTTTCGGATGCATCGCCTGGTAGGCTCAATATACGATAATATGCACTCGTCTGTATATTCGAATGAAAATATAAACTTATGATGGATGCAAGCCGATCAGTAGCAGAACAACTCCACAATCAGATATAAACTTGTACACCAGGTAGTGACCCTAGCACAAAATTCAAAGAATACTATTTGGTTAACCGTACCTTAGCAGGTGGAGGAGAGTTCGAAGGTCGAGCGACTAACATTAACAGTCACTGTTCCTACTAATAGCAATATGATGTACGCATGGTTATTAGATTTATGTACAAACATACAAAAAGAATTCTTACCAAGGTAATCGGCCTGTATCTCATAAGTTTAATCTTTTCATCTGTATACGGAGAGAAATTTTGGTAAGCTTGACTTATGGTGAGTATAGTTTCATATAAACCAAGATGATCATTTGATGGTCGACTACATATTCCGTAACGACCGGTATTTGTCGATGATGGATTATTTGGTATTTCTGTGTTGCCAGTAGGCGGAGGAATAAAGGCCGAAACATGTCCACCAGCAGCATTTCCACCAGTTGAATCAATTCTCATAGGATTTGTAACAGAACTACTATGCTGCATTGGAATACCAACTTCTGAATTGTCTCGACCACAATCAGAACCACGTGTTCGTCTTGGCATTCGACCATATCTTACACTGTCTTTGGACATACCAGCAGCAAGACATTTACGAAAGCGACAATACTGACATCGGTTACGATTTAGCCGTATCACAAGACATTTTCCATCCCTTAAACACTTATACTCGATTTGCTTTTGAATGCTTCGACGAAAGAAACCCTGCATGAAAGATATAGAAAAATATATGAAAAATTTTTAATTCTTATAAAACAAATGAATTAGTCATCTTCAACACAGTGAGACAGAATACAATTCACAAAGCAAAGAATGCATGATTAAAAACAGTTTGAGCTAACTGTGACAACTCCTTAAGTGAGCGCATTTCCATATATTACGCTACAAATCACACTGACTGTAAGCTGATCGTACAACCTGACTACATGTCAGCAAATGCAGCGATTGTGAATTTTGTGACTCGCTAGTTGCGAGTTGAATAACTAAAGAAAGTGAAACAACCGTCATCCTACAAGCATTCATGATGTTAACAGAACTAGCATGCTGTTCAATACTGTGACAGCATGAACTGATACATAGTTCCCTATGAGTACGCATATGTATTTTTAACTCAAACCACATTCCTTTCAAAAAAGTTCATTATCATATGCTGAAATGAATCAGTAACAAACAATCGAATGAATATTCGTAAAGATTTCTAGGATTTTAAGATATTGCTTTTCAAAGTTCATTTTAAACATTGTTAGCAGCATAATAATGAGGTTTGTTTTGATGGTGTTGTGTTCTCTAAGGTAGATGAATCCAAAAATATCAATAGACAATGAACAGCCAAAATGGAAATCTTCAGAGGATACTCATAAAAGGACACCACAACGTTGGCAACTGCGATTGAAAATCAAGTAGACGACACAAATGACAGAGAAGAAACATCCTTCGAAAGAAACTTGTCAAAATTTCAAAACTACGAGCATCAGAAGGGGATGCAGCAAATGACTGTGCAGTCAACTTGTCCAAACAACCTTTGACCAAATCCGAAGAATTTCTCCTTCAGAAAGGAGTAAATTACACTACGAGAGACGCTTAAGGACCAGAATCTTTTACATCCCTAGAGTCATCACTGAAGACTTCAGGACTAAGCTGAGATAACGTGAGATACGACAAGTGGATGATTAAACCACCCAGTTCAGAGAACTTAACACCATCAGAATTACCCTCCTGAGGTACAAATATTTTCCACGATCTCAAAATAAGTATTTTACTAATATATCCTCCAATTGAGAATACTTAAAACATACCATACTGCAACTGCTACACAGTATTTTTATCTTAAATAGGTTTGCAAGTAATGCAAGTAATTAGGCATCATGACAAAGGTCATATCATACCTCTTAAAGTTACCTGATTTTATCACTAGACACTTCATCAAGAGGTTTGTCAGTTGCATAAATGAATGTATTTTAATCTTGAAGTATCCCTTCGAGAACCACAGAACCGCAATAATCAGAAAACTGGTTAACATTATGATTAGAAATGTTTTAACTGACTGAATGGGTGTTATTTATGTATAATTAAACCAACTTTTTGTAACTTTTTTCAAAAAGAAAAGTCAATAATAACAGATAATACATAGAAAACTTAATTGAGAAAATGATATGATTCCAACAGGGATTTATTTATGAATAAACATAAGTATGTACCAGTTTAAGCGCCTGGATATACCTAATTGTGTTTTCAAGATAAGCAGAAGTTTTCGAGGGCTAAAAGCCATCTAGTTGATTTTGAAAAAGAGAGTGAAAAGCTTACTCTTTATTTTGCATAAATTCTACCCTTTTTCCAGTCTAATCTATTTCAGTGTAAGAAGTTACCAACTCAGTATTAAACTGAATATATATCACAGTTATGAATATAAAATATCAAACTGTCACACTATAAGAGCTCGAACAATACAATAATTATTTTCATGTCATATTTAAATCCTAAAACCACCAGAAGCGTCTACACTGAATATGAAGTACATATTAAAACAACTACACCTAGTATCTAGAATTTGAAATCATAACAGTTAACTGTGAAATAACACGATAAGATTTATTGCCATGTTTGTATCTGAGCGAAAGACAGACGAAGTCAAACGGCATAGCAACACTAAATTTTCACTAAAAACTAAGCAACTGTAGTCAGTTTAAGTGCCGATTTTACGTTGCAGGGTTAAGTCAGAAAACGGTTGAGTGATTACACTAAAATATATCTCAAACGCACAAAATCACAAAGGATTGGTTGAACTTTCATAGAGAGGTACGGTCTACCTAGCTGATATCTTCTGTGAATTGATGGGTGTATACCCTTCATAACGCAACTGAAAATCTAAAAAAAATGGAGCAGAAGTATTCACTTACATCCATAGAATTCTAGAGATACCATCAATAATAATAATAATAATTCACTTTATTCCAAACAATTTGTGGTACAATTTGGAATTCTCAGCGTAATATATATTGCAATAACAACAAAATATAAGTATATACATACTACTTTGCAGCCTTCTGAATTGTTTTATTATAAAAATTTAAGTTATGTGAAGAATATTAAAAACGAGAAAATTTTGCATTGTAAGTTAAATTATTGAAATGAGATTTTTAACTGTCACAAAGTTGATGTGTGATTTCTGTTCTAACACTTTTTTCCTCACAAAATATGCGTGCAAGGTAAGGTACAGTCGAATTCTTATACTTAGCTGTACGAGCATACAGTCTTATGTAGTTTCTTCTTGTCCTCCCTGAGGAGATACATGGAGAGAGCTGTAAATGAAGTGGATGCTCACTGTCAGTTAAAATTTCTGTAGCTAGTAGCTTGCAGGAATTTATATGTCGATCAACTACAGTGTTAATCAGTTGAGCCAGAGACACACCACTCACCCTGCTGACGGTCTTCAAAGCCCTACGCAACATAACATAGTCCTTTTTAAGAAGACCAGGAAAGATTAATGGGGAACAATATAGAAGAATAGGTAAAATGCAGGAATTAATAAATTGTAAAAGAAGCAGTTGAGTTATACCAGAAAGCCTCAATTTCTTTACGTAATAAGTTAAACGAAAGATTTTTTTACAAGTCAATAAAATATGGGACGACCAACAAAGGTCAGAAGTAAAACGCAACCCAAGATAGTTCACACTCGATTTACTTTCTGCAGAAATACCATTGATGCAGCAGGCGTCATGAGATTTAAGCAGCTCACATAAGTCTTGTTTACGCCTGAGGCTAAAATTAACGGTCTGACATTTAGAGGGGTTTAGTTTGAGACCATTTGAGAGAGACCATTTACCAACTTCAGACAAGAATTCATTTAATTTCGAGCAATCCAAAGAAGAGTTTACTGGAATAGAAATCGTCAGGTCGTCAGCATACTTGATAAAATTAGTTTCAACAGAATAAGGCAAATCGTGCAAAAAAAGGAAAACAGAAAAGGAGAAAGTACAGCACCTTGAGGCACACCAGCTTCAGTAAGCAATGAAGTCGAGCGCATCCCTTTATGAATAGTGTACTGTTTCCTTTCAGAAAAATAAGAATGCAGCCATTTTGTAACCCATGGATCAGTGTGAGCTATGGCAAGCTTATTTAACAAAAGTGGTCTAGGAACAGAGTCAAAGGCTGATGAGTAATCCAAAAAGGCACAACGGACATACTTAACACCTTTGTCGAGACTAGAAACAATATTATGATGCAAGACAGTAGCTGCATCTAAAGTACTCCTCCGGTGTTTGTAAGCAAACTGTTTTGGATCTCTGAAGGCCATCAATGAAGGCTCAATCACAAGCAGAAGTAATTTCTCCATTGTCTTCAGAAAAGGGGAAGTTATAGCGATGGGTCGAAAAGTAACATCTGATCCAGAAGATGGCTTAGGCACAGGTACAATTTTTATCTGCTTCCAAGCAGTGGGTATTATGTTTTTAGAGAACGATACATTGAAGATATCTGTAAGTGGATGACACAAAATATCTGCACATTTTCTAAATATGATACTAGAAACACCATCAGGACCTAAGCTTTGGGAGGGATTCAAAGACTTTAGACATTTAAATACATCATTTGTATTGAAACCTGGAAAGCAGCTATCCACTTGATTTTGCACATTAGGAAGGGTGAAATTAGCTTGCCGACGTATAAATGACTTGTTTAACGCGCAGACATCCGAACGAGTTTGTGTTGTCATCTGTTTTTTACCAGTAAGCTCTTTAAATAATTTCCATATATTGGAAGAGTTCTTACACGATAAGAACTTCTTGTTGTATATAGTATTCAGACGTTGTATTTCAGACTTAATTAGGCAGTTAAGCCTTTTAACGCCAGGGTGATCTCTCGCCTTATACAACCTTTCCTTTTCTCTCCGAAGCCTCTTGAGATGAGGAGAGGAAAGTCTGTCAAATCTCATGTAAATTGTTTCAGTAGGGCAGCAGATATCGAGACAGAATCTGAGATAGCTTGTGATATTGGTAATAGTGTTGTCTAAAACTTCATCAGCAAATATATCCCAGTCCGTTTCTATAAGCATGCTTCTCAAACGTAATATATTTTCTTGTGAATAGCATCTGTATTGAACTTTCCTTGAAAGGTATGCAAAAGCTTTCTTGTATAATTTTCCGTACACTTTAGGCAAAACACGAACGATACAGTGGTCGGAATTTAGCAGTGGAGCCCGTTTACGGGCTTCATATATGCCAGGTTCATTTGTAAATGCAAAGTCTAAGGTGTTGTCAAGACGAGTGGAAAAGTTAACCATATTTTTATGACCCAATGATAATAGAAAACTGTAGTCACATGAGTTAAAATCACCACAGACAATAGACAAGGAGTTTCCCAGAACCGGAGCAGCAAATTCAGTGAATTTATCAGCAAAAGTTGACAAATCTGAGAAACTGCAGTCAGGTGTGACATACATGTTTGTGATATATATGTATTTGTATTTGCTCAAATGTTTGGGACGACATTTGATGGTAATGCACTCAATTTTTTCGTTAGAGAAGCAGAAGCATACATAGTTGGAGGACGACCAGTTAGTACTAATAAATGTTGCTACACCACCACCACATTTCTTCTTCGAAAAGCTTCGATCTTGTCGAAATAATTTGAAACCATCTAAGCAGACTAAGTCATCATCATACAGATTATGAAGCCATGTTTCCTGCAGCATTATTACACCCGTGTTT